TATGTCCATTTTTGTGTATAATATATCAGTGTCACCCCCTTCCATTATTCTCTGTCCTCCCATTTCTAATTCCAAACATTTTCACCTATGAATACTGAATGTCCTGTTATTAGTCCCTATTGCTCTCTCCATCCATCTGCATCCTCCCTAGAGCTCACTACTTCTCTGACAAATATTTCAGCTTCCTAGTACTCATTTTGTTAAACTGTTAATTGTTTAACACCTCTGAGTATACTATAGTTTAGTCCGTTTGATCATGTATATATGCATATGGCTTAGTACAATGTGTTTTCATGTGTCTGTATTTTAGGTTTGGCTTACACATGAGATATACGTATGCCCTTTGTCTTTCTGAGTCTGACTTACTTTACTTAATGTAATTTTTTGCAGATACATTTTCCATCAAATGACAATATTATTCCTCCTAACAGATGAATAAAAGTTGTGTGTGTGTGTGTGTGTATGTGTATGTGAGTGTGAATGTGTGCGTGTGTGTATGTGAGTGTGAATGTGTGCACGTGAATATCACATTTTCTTGATCTATTCTTCAGTTGTAGGGATCTGGGCTATTTCTATAACTTAGCTATTGTGAATAGTGCTACAAATTACATGAGTGTTAGATACTTTTATTGTATCCTAACTTGCAATTTTCTGAACAAATACTCAAGAATGGCATTGCCAGATCATATGGTAGTCTATCTTCTTAAGGAATCTCCATAGAGACTGCACTAACTTACATTGCCACCAACGGTGGCAATTAGGGATCTTCTCCAGCACTTGTTAGTATTCTTGATGATGGTCATTCTGATCGAAGTGAGATGGAATCTCAATGTTGTTTTTATTTGCATTTCCATTATGGCCAAGGATGTTGAACAATTGTTCATGTATTTATTGGCCATAAGTACTACTTCTCAGTAGTAGTAACTTGGCTATTGATTCCTAGGGTTTTAAATTTTTGAGCTCCTGGTATATTCTAGTAATTAGAACTTTATCAAATTTATAGCTACCAATGATCTTCTCCCATTCTGCAGGTCTTTTTAGCTTAGTGCTTAAATACTTCTACCAGAGCATTTTTAATATCCACTTAAAAACAGCAAACATTGACCAAGAACAATGAATATGTTTGAGTGATTATGAGATATAAACCACTGATGCAGTGGTTATATTTTGGTGTCCATTGTTCCTCAACAAAAAACAAAACCTGCCCTACATGGCCTATTCTCAGTTCAGACACAAGTCCAGTGTAATATGTCTGGCAGGTTCCTCAGTAATTGCTTTAGGTGCTGAAACTTCTAAAAATTCTACAGCTGTAATGTTATTTAAACTTACATAAGAGAGAGGGGAAGAGGAAGAGATTAAAGAAAAGATGACAGCCATCTGCTTTCCTTTCACAAAGAAGTGAGAAGAGGATGCAGACTTACATTTGTTACAAAAAGGTTAAGTTAAAAGAAATTTTGAAAGTAGCATACTAAAAGAATCGGTGAGTTTAAAACTTTTTTTTTTTTTTTTGTCAATCCTGGGGCTTCAACTCTGGGCCTGGGCGCTGTCCCTCAGCTCTTCAGCTGAAGGTGAGCACTCTACCACTTGAGCCACAGAGCCACTTGTGGTTTTATTAGTGGTTTATTCTCCAATAAGAGTGTCACAGACTTTCTTGCCCAGGGCTGGCTTTGAACCACGATCCTCAGACCTCAGTCTCCTGAGTAAGTAGGATTACAAGCATGAGCCACCGGTGCCTGGCTGGATAAAAACATCTTTAAGGCCAATTAGCATCATGAGGATGAAGTTTCACAGTGTTCACATTTCAAGAAATATATAACAATGCATGCTTCCATTCTTTTATTTTAAGCATGTTTATTTACCAAAGTTTACCCTTGTACACACAAGGAGTCGTTACTGGTTGCCTCTAAGGAATTAACAACAAAAGTAGAACAAAACCAGTCTTAGCTACAAATTTGGTTTCCTCTTTTAATTTTTACCCAGAATTGAACCCAGTCACTACCATGGAAGTCTATCATCAGATTCTCAAAAATTTCCTAAAATCTATTAATTGTAGCCAAGTAATATACACATTATTTTATCAATTTACTTATTTTTTGTGGTTCGTGGGGCTTGACCTCTGGGCCTGAGCACTGTCCTTGGGCTCTTCAGCTCAAGATGAGCACTCTATCACTTGAGCCACAGCACTACTTCCAGTTTTCTGGTGGTTAATTGGAGTCTCATGGACTTTCCTGTCTGGGCTGGCTTTGAACTGTCATCCTCAGATCTCAGTCTCCTGACTAACTAGGATTACAAGCATGAGCCTCTGGCCCCTGGCAATAAAAACATTCTTAAACAGGGGGCTGGGAAGGAGGCTTACTGGTAGAGCGCTTGCCTTGCATGCCTGAGACCCTGGGTTCGATTCCTCAGCACCACATAAGCAAAAAGAAAAAAGCCAGAAATGGTGCTGTGGCTCAAGTGGTAGAGTGCTAGCCTTGAGCTGAAGAGCTGAGGGACAGCGCCCAGGCCCAGAGTTCAGGCCCCACGACGGGACCCCCCCCCCCAAGAAAAAAAAATTCTTAAACAGAAACACTTTGGGAGAGGAAGACAAGTTTCACTACGTAGTACAGGCTGGCCTCAGTTTATGGAGTGACAGAATTACACGTGTGCTTACAAGTCAAATTTAGATCCATTGGATAAAAACTTCCCATACTAATTATTTTTGTTAATTTGTGTTGTCTATAAGTCAATAATCTACAATTAAAATTTCAATTAAAATTCCTCTTGAACCTATGTGGTTTATACCACACCATATAAAAAGTTAAAGTGTCTTAATAGTTAATCCAGTAAAAGTTTGGACACCAGCAAACTAATGTCTAACCTCAAAACTGCAGAACTGCAGTTTGATCTCAGGGCCTCATACTTATGAGGCTGGTACTATACCACACAAGCCATTCCTCCAGTCCTGCTCTGTGCTAGTTATACTGGAGAAACAGTCTAGCAAACTTTTTTACCTGTCCTAGCCTCAAACTATGACCCGCCAGATTTTAGAATCCTGAGTAGCTGGGTTACAGGCTTGAGCAATCAGTACCCCATATAAATCTTTATAATTAATTTTGAAAGCTGTGGTCCACTTCATCTTTCTTTAATATAAATGGTTTTCAGAGTCTTGAATTGCTCTGAAACACTTTGAAATCAAACTGAGATCCTTGACATTAAGAACAAACTGTGAGAAATCTATATTAGGAAAGAAGGTACTTGAGAGTTCCTGCCTTCTTTTTATAAACCAAGTGACTTAAAGAAATTGTTCAAACCTTAAACCTATTTCTGTTTGGAGTCTACATTAGAAAATACAAAGATATGATTTCAGTAAGGGATTCCATTCATCCTACATCCTAAGAGAATCACTGATATTAAAGAATATTATTCACTACTGTGAATAGCAGACTATTAAGTCAGTCCAAGTCCATCAGTGAATCTATGAAAATGACATGGCCAAGCCATTAAAGTGACCCGAAGACTGTATGGTGATGAAACATTAAACCTGTATATGGAATCAGACGCCAGTTTCACATATTATCTAGAACCAGACTCAGTTAAGCAACATTCAACATTTCCACATGATTTATCTATTACTAAGACATTATAAAAATTTTATTTCTTTTTCTAACCACTGTGAAGGTTGATGGCACAAGATTGGTACCAAAAAAAAACTATAACCATAAAGCTATTTTAAGTGAGTTTTTCTAATATTAAGGCTCAGTAAGATTCATCACATATTTGAAAAGGAAAAAAAAGTGCAAAAATATAGACAAAGAGAATCTCTTGTCTACGCATGTAAATTGTCAGTCAGTTCAATCACTCATTGTGTTTCTTAAACTGGTCTTGACTAGTAACAGGCTGGTAAGAACAGACAGAATGTCATTACTAGTGACAGCCACTTAGCTGGATCCATCCGTATCAGTGAAGACTAATATCACAAGAAAGATGCAGAAGTTGTGCCTAAAAAGAACATGAATACAGACTGCTGAAAGAAAGCTGTTATTCAAACTATATCATGATCAAGCTACAGACTAAATTAATAATTATCTTGATAAATTAAGCATTCTACCATAAAACCTTCAAAGCACAAAACCATATAACTCAACTTTTTAAAGCAAAATTTAACCCGTCATTGCTTCTTAAAAATAACTTCATTAAACGTACCCACTACTACTTTTAACTTTTTATTTTGAAATAATTATGGTCCTAGCAGATTGCAAAGAAAAGTAAATAGGAGTCCCATGCATCAGCTCCAATATTTAGTGTTAACAATTGATATAACACTAACACTACAACAACAAATTGGCATGGTCAGAATCCAGAGCAACAGATGAATTAATATGTATGAGTACATGCAGATCTATGAAACAGTAGCTCATGTATAGCCTTGAGCATCAGACCTATCACTACAAGATCCTCAACTGTACTGTCACAAAACTCCAACTGTTTCCAAATCAGTTTAAAAAAAAAAGCCAATCCCTTACCTTCTGTTAACTATATCAAAAGTAGATATTTCATCTATTGAGAGAAACTAGGGTTAAGAAAAGCACACAAATGCCAATAGAAATGGTAGAAGGCAGTTCTGAAGGTGGTGGTGTTTGACTGCCCACAGAAAGAGAAAGGGACATGCTTTGAATGGAGCCTGAGTTAACAGTTGCTATAGTAACCCCAGATCAGGTAGTAAGATACTATAAATTTCCCAACAGCTGTCTAAAAATACTGAATTAGCTGAGAGAGCAAAGGGTGTTATGCAGATGATATTTTAGAAATCTTAAAGGAAAAGCAATAAACTACTTTCATTTCCCAGACTTGTCATGGAGTATATTTAAAATACGAGCATATTAAATTAAGGTTGCCATTTAGCAGTAATAAGGATTATTTCAAAGTACAGTGATGAACAGGAGGTTAAAAAAATTAGCATAAGTTCCCTAAGTAATTGCAGCACTAACTAATTTTGTAGTTCTCTCAACTCCAAAACTTACAGTCAAACTTGAGAATCCAGCATCCATTGAGAATCCCAAGCATGCATTTCAGAGTACTTTGAGCCTGATCACCAGGAACAATGACATGCGTTACTAAGAAACAAAAAAGCAGTAAAATAATTCTTCAACCTGCTATTTAAAACCAGCTAAACTATTTTATTATTTTTATGTGAATCTTCTTCAAAAGCAACACTTTTTTTTACAGTTTATGTACCACTTTGTTACACAGTGTCATTTTCTAACTGGGCCATCAATGTGAAAAATCAGAGTATAAATGATATATTTAAAGTCACATTAGTAAATATAATTTTTCTGTTATTTTTAAATTGTAACTGAAAAATTATGCCAATACATTGCGCTATAATTTGTCATTAGAAAACTTGTAAATTGTTTTATTGACATATTGTTTAGTCCTAAAATAAAAGTTTATACGTAAATGTAAAGTTTAAACTTTACATTGCTAAACTACATTAAGCCTGTAAGTAGTTTATTAGTGTGAAGCCAGTTTAGATTTATTAAGAGATACAAAGTATACAGCCCTCTCCCAATATATATGAAACATATATAAATTATCAAAGGTAGTTCTCCAAAGGGATTGCCTATTTATTTTTTTTTTAAGTTAGTAAATCTTTCCTCCTTTTTTAAAGCAACATTTTCCTACCAATAAAATCGGAATGCTCACCTGTACTGTCAAATTCGGCACATTTTTTAGCCTTGAGAATTCCTGAAAGCTCACTGAGCAAGCTCTGTTGTTCTGAAGAAAGCCCACTGCCAATAAGCACAAGAGGTCCATCCCTGCGTGACCAGCTGCTCATCTAGAAGAACAAAAGGGGAGGCCACAGGGGGAAAAACACTCAAGACCAGAGACATTCAACAGATCTTAAATAAAAGACTGAATTTCATTACTCACTTTACTCTAGTTAATAACAATTAAAATCTGCATTGACTCTGCACCAAGAACCTTTATGCTAATATATTTAAATGTTTTTTAAATTTAATTTCTTCCCAAGAAAACATATATTGGGATAACTCTCAATTCCCTGGGAATCTTGCTGGATGCTAAACTGAATCTCTGTAAAGTTTTACAATTTTGTTTTTTGCCAGTAAACCGTTTCCCTCAAGTTATCTAAAACAGCTACATAAGACCAATTTCCTATCCTTCCTCTAACTTATTCCAATAGAGATAAACGCGAACTTGGTCTATTTAGTTTAAACTTGGGTTGTCTGAAAGTCAAAGAATACTGACACTTTCTACCAAAGAAAGAAACAATTTTTTATCATTAAAGAAAAAGTGAAGATAAAGACTCACAAGACAATTCAAAAGTTAGATCAGATTCATGAATGGTACTCATTACAAGAAAAACACTGCGGGGCTAGGAAGGTGGCTCAGTGGTAGAGCGCTTGCCTTGCATGCATGAGCCCTGGGTTCGATTCCTCAGCACCACATAAGCAAAAAGAAAAAAGCCGGAAGTGGTGCTGTGGCTCAAGTGGTAGAGAGCTAGCCTTGAGCTGAAGAGCTGAGGGACAGCGCCCAGGCCCAGAGTTCAGGCCCCATGACCGGACCCAAAAAAAAAAAAAGAAAAGAAAAGAAAAACACTGCTGACTATCAAAGACTATTTTCAGGGGCTGGGAAGGTGGCTCAGTGGTAGAGCACTTGCCTTGCATGCATGAGGCCCTGGGTTCGATTCCCCAGCACCACATAAGCAAAAAGAAAAAAAGTCAGAAGTGGCGCTGTGGCTCAAGTGGTAGAGCGCTAGCCTTGAGCTAAAGAGCTGAGGGACAGTGCCCAGGCCCAGAGTTCAGGCCCCATGACCGGACCCCCCCAAAAAATAAATAAATAATAAAATAAAAATAAAAATAAAAAACTTTGGGTTTAAAAAAAAAAAAAGACTATTTTCACTCTAACCTCTAGACATAGAACTTCAAAGAGACAAAAAATAAGAGAAACTGCCATTGAACAGGATTTGAATTAAAGAGTGCACGTGAGGATTCAAAGAAACAGTAGTGAAAAGGCTACAAAAGCAGTAAACAGAAATTTAGTAAATGGAGTTATAATGGAAAGTAGCCAAAAGCTACCTGATGGAAGAGAGGTAATGGTCTGGTAAAGAAGGCAAACCAGCACTATTCTTTTAAAGGATAGGATGCAGAACACAACAGTGTTCAAACACAAGACTTGGTTGTGATATTAGAATGCATATGTACAATGGAATCTAGGCTTTGAAACCTCTGAAGAGAACTAAGGAAATAAAGGCATATATATCATTGTAGTTCAACAACTACATGGGAGAAAGCTACATAAAATATTCTCTGCACATTTAAGAAGTGATAAGTCATGTAGTCTGACAACCTACATAAATTACATCTAAATTGTTGGCTAAATCCTGATTTCAATAATTCACTTACTCAAAATATTCAGTCTATAAGATTTAACACTTTAAAGTTCAGCCATCTGAATTCTTGACTACTTGAAGACTGGAGAGCAAGTTGTACTAGCCATGATACACATTCCCACACACATGTAATTATAATCAAATTTCTATTTATGTATGTCTATAAATTATAAGATGATATAACCATGTCTAGCATATGCAGTGTAAATACATCAAAATATAAAAATAGCTCAGGGGGAATTTCATGAATAGCTCAGTTATATTATAATATTAGGAAACAATTGCTGGACTAGGGAAGTAGCTCAACTAGTAGGGCACCTGCCTAACAACTGTGAGGTCCTGAGTTCAAAACTAATACTGAAGAAAAAATGTCTAAATTCTTGTCAGTTATATAAATACATACCACAAAAATATCTCAGAATAGAACATGCTATTTCTGATTTTATGTAATTTCACTCTTAGGTCTTAGCCCAAAATAAAAGAGTGAAAAGATATAATGTCTAAATATAGCATGTGAAACTATTTGTAGCAACAGGAAAGCACCAAAGTGGGCCAAACATTTTTTAATCACGTATATTTTTAATTTACACAAAAATGGAACTTGTACAAAAATCTCAGTTAAGGAATGCTATAATAAAACCTAAAGCAAACAGGTCCAAATCACATGTCTAATGTTGGGTAGGATGGTGTGGGAACTGGGAGTCAATTTGATTGAGAAGAGCTCTCAGAAGCAAGAAGCTCAAGAGGTTCAAAACCTTTAGATATTAAGTCATTAAGTAACCTTTTACATAAATAGTAATTCACTACGGTACTCTGAAATCTTAATTTTTTTACTGGCACTGGGACCTGAACTCTGAGGCCTCCTGCTTAGTTGGTTTTTTTGCTTACAGCTGGTACTCTACCACTTAAGCATTATCTCCAGCCTGGCTTACTTACACAGCCTGGCATTGAACCTTAATCCTTCAGAACTCAGCCTCCCAAGTAGCTAGGATTACAAACATGAGCTGATGGCACCTGGCTAATTTTAATTATTCTTAATAAATTTATTATGAATGAAGGTTAAACAAAAACTGCAAAGAATAAAGAGGATAAATGCACTGCTCAAAAGAGATCATGGACAGGGAAGCCCCCCAAAAACATTTCAAGAAAACATATTTTTAATCCTTTAAGATTCAAAAATTCCAAGCCGTGCCTCCAATAGCTATTATCCTTTACTTGGTTTAACTGTAAACCCAGTGTATATCACCTTTACAATAAAATAAATTTAAAAATAAAGAAACAAATAAAAAAAGAATTGCGAATGAGAAGAGAAATTCAAACCCCACCAACCTGTCATTCCTTCTCTTCTTCCTAAACAAACATCCCTAAAGCAGCTACTGAGAACAGCCTGGAATGCATTAACTGAAAGCGTCCTGAACTGAGCCACAAATCACAGGTGCTTTTTTCAGGGGCAAGCATGAACACCACCAGATACTCTAGACTCACTAGCTCGGTCACACACACTTACTCACCACACTATTCTCCATGCCAGGGCCACTAAGTGAATAAGAATTAGTCCCAACATTTAAATTTTAGAAGGTAATGAAAAATAAAACATTGGATGTAAGATGACCAGCAATATGATCAGAGCAGGGAAAGGGGTAGAGCAGCACTAAGAGGCTACTATGTAAAAGACAGTGGTACAGTCAGATCTGAAGGGTGTGATGAAGCAGGCCGTGGGAACATCTGTCTCCCACATCTGTTTCTAGTAGAGAACGCATTGCTAAGGACTGCAAAGGGAGCATTAGTAGGGAGACTACTGACACAACAAGGTAGTTCACACGGCTGAAGGTGAGTGAAGAGGAGTCTGGTACTGGTCAAGGGTGGCATATCCCAGGGCTTACATCTTAACATGGAAAATAAACTACCTTCCAACTTACAAATACTTGCTACCTTTCCTTAGCTTTTCCTAAGCTGCTACCAACCACTGACAGAATAGGTATACTTGCAGGTTATGCATATCACATGACATGCCCAAAATACAGCATTCTTTTATCTCATAATAAAATCTTTCTTTTGTGAAGGGCATTATCATCCTTGGACTCCAAGAATATCATAAAGATATATTTTATTCTGACATACTTAAAATAATCCTCCAGCTTTTACATAAAATAAGCATTGGCAAATGACAATTTAGATATGCGATGTTCTGCCAGGAGAGTTCAAGTACAAATGAATAAAATAAGTACCAATTTACAGTTAATAAATATGGTATACCGAACTGAATGAGAACTGACCTAAGACTTCAGAAATTTGAGTCCTAACTGGTCCATTAAAATTATTATTTTTTTAATCTCTGGTTAATAACCTGAGCAAATCACAACCTCTCCAGGTTTCAGTTTTCTCATTTTTAAAGGAAGAAATTAAACTGCTGACTTCTAGGTCCTTTTCTAGTTCATTTCCAAAACTGTAATTTGGAACAATTTATAAGGCTCAAGTCTAAAGTAGAAGATAAAGGAGTCTTAAGGTGTAAAGGTAAGTGGCCTGTGATAGCACCTATGATTTTGTCAAATGATAACTACCTCAGGCTACCTCCAAAACTTAAACAAGGGCATCAATCACTACTGCTCTGCCCTTCCTAGCTTCAGCTCATGCCATTCCCCAGTCTGAGCAGTTGCTAGGATACAGTGAGTCTTCCATATCCATCTATATCTTCACCACTCCCTCCAGGCCTTCCTCCCTATCCCCAAACCACTACCCCAACTACTTCATGCCTCAACTGTACTGGACATTCTCCTAGTCAGCTTTAGACATTTCCAACTCCCAACTATTCTGCAGTGTCCTATTTAAAACATACCAAAGTTGCCCCTATTAAGTCCAAACTAGGGAAATTGCCCTATTAGGAAGCCAAGGTCTTTGATAAGCTGTTTCTAACTTGGTTGTCTACCCTCAATTCTACACAATAGCACACTTCGTGCCCCTTTTACATTAAATCCTATAGCCCTTCAACTTCTTAAAGCGCTTTATGACTCCTTTCCTTACGAGCAGTGGTTTCCTTAGATTTGGACTGCCTTTCCCCCTGTGCATAACCAGTGTATAAAGATGGCTGTTCACATAAGATGAATTCTTTTACTTCAAGTCCAATTCTGCTCAAGTATTTAACCTTCAAATATCGCCCCCGACTCCAACCTCAGGATAAACCAATTGATCCCAATTGTCTGATGAGTTGTGCTCAATAAATGCATTCAGACTCCTAAGAAAGGCTAGTACCTCTTTTTCAAGTAGTCACAGGCACTTCCAGGACTGTGGCAATCACATTGTAATCACTGCAGGACATAGTAAGGGCAAAGCTGCCAAATCACTAATGGCTAAATAAGTTAAATGCAGAGATTTCCTAATTAGGATTCTCTTTATTTAGATAATGTGTCTTTAAGTAGTTTACTATCTTAAATAAAAAGGTTTTCTGATACTATCCATCAACATAATCAGAGAACAGGTTAAAACTGTCATCTTTAATAATTTAGTTTTGGTTACCTTCTCTATGTAGCTCTTCCTGAACACTACTGAAGTTGCCTTCAGCCTTCTCCGTGGTTCTACTGCACATGTTATAGCTTCTATTAAATATATAGTAATGTTTTTATATGATATTCTCTATTAAGCTCCAAGTTCCTATGGACTAGACCTTCTTTCCACTTTAGATTATGCCTTTCCTAATAAGCTCCAGGCTTACATCTCTATTTATAGACTTAAGCATGTCCAAAGCGAAACTCATACTTACTACTGATTGATAACAAGTTGAAGATGATTCATTCTTCTCTGGTAGCAGCAATAATGATTTCATATTTTCATTGTCCGTACAATCCACAGGCCGCAGACCAAATATGTTACTGGTAAAGTAAATACAGATGGATTTAAGTAAATAAAATGTGTGACTTGATTCTTAACAAAACGGATGCATGAAGGAACATTTTTTTTTCAAGATCCTTAATAATACAGAATTTTAATTAAAATAAATGAGTCAAGCCAGGCGCCGGTGGCTCACGCCTGCAATCCTAGCTACTCAGGAGGCTGCGATCTGAGGATCACGGTTCAAAGCCAGCCCAGGCAGGAAAGTCCGTGAGACTCTTATCTCCAAAAAAATCACTAGAAAACTGGAAGTGGCTCTGTGGCTCAAGCAGTAGAGCGCTTGCCTTGAGCTGAAGAGCACAGGGACAGCGCCCAAGAGTTCAAGCCCTATGACCAACTGAAAAAAAAAAAAGGCAGAACTCAAATTAGGTATGAGGACCTAGTAGCAAAAGCTTCTAAAGTAAATGGAGAAAAGATGTAAAATGTCAATATAACATCAGATCATAATAGGGAACATTTTAAATTGCATATTTTATAACTTACACATCAATTTCTCTATAATTTTGTATTCTTCTGTATTCAAATTCATGTTTTAAATTGTAGTTCTTAATGATTAACCACTATGGGCTAGATGCTTTCAAATTCAATACAAATCATTTACTATAACTAGTGTAGGTACTATATTCTATAAACAAATATAAAATTAGAGTAATTTACAGACTAGGAATTTAGATCCACTAAAAGAAAAACTATGACACACAATAAATACTTTAATAAGGTATTGAATGGTGCACTTTAAAATTTAACTTTAATATTCTATGTACTCAAATTTTATCAACAAATTAGTATTGTTCTGAGAACAATTTGATGCAGATTTCTCAGCAAGGACTGATTTACATCAGACTGTTACAATAGAGGAGACTTTATAGATGACAGTATGACCATATTATTTTATGTTTTGTTGTTACTGTAAAGGTGATATACAGAGGGTTTGCAGTTACTTAAGCCAGGTAATATGTACATTTCTTTTTGGACAGTGTCACTACCTCTTCCTTCATTTTCTCCCAGGTTTTCCTTCCCAACCCCTCACCCAAATTGTATAGTTCATTTTCAACATCTAGTGAATTATCACTTCATCCTTTGTCCCACCATTTCTGTGCTCTTTTACCCTGCCCATAGAAGATAAACTTGCATACAAGCCTAAAGATAGAAAAACCAAAAACAGTGACAAAGGAGAAAACAAAAACAAAAAGCAAAATAACAAAAAAAAATCTTGTTTCCATTTCTTGGAATTCATTTAGATAAACATCATTTTATACGATCATATGCACATAGCTATTAAGCCTTTGTGATTCTCTCCTAAGAATATCCTCTATTAGTCTCAATGAGTGAATGCCTAGAATCATGTGAAGTATAATTTTTTTTGTCTTTTATCATCCAGTGCACTTACTTGTAGATTTATAGGCACATTCTAGTTACAACAAATGAGGGAAACTACATGCAACAACCCAATTAATAAATGGGCTAAAGACTTAAAGAAGCTTCTCCAAAGAAAAAGTAAGAATGGCCAATAGACACATGATGAAATGTTCAACATCTCTGGCCATAAAAGAAACGCAAATCAAAACAATGATATCCCAACTCACCTTAGTTAGCATGGCCATTATCAAGAAAATTAACAATAACAGATGCTGGTGGGGATGTGGCCAAAAGGAAACACTACTATACTGTTGGTAGGAATGTAAACTTGTTCAACCACTCTGGAAATCAGTATGGAGGTTCCTCAAAAGACTAAACACAGAGCTGCCCTATGACCCAGCAATCCAATTCCTGAGAATTTATCCAATAGACCGCAAACAAGGCCACACTAAAACTACTAGTACTACCATGTTTACTGCAGCATTATTTACCATAGCCAAGATATGGGATCAACCCAGTTGCCCCTCAGAGGATGAATGGATAAAGGAAATGTTGTGAGGGAAGGGATGGTAGGGGAAAAACAAAGGAGAAAACAATGCTCGATAGGAAATGTACTCATTACCTTACTCATGTAACTGTAACCCCTCTGTACAGTATCTTTACAATAAAAAAAATACAAAGAAAAGGAAAATGTTGTATATATGCACAATGGATTCTAAGCTTCCATCGGAAAAAATGATATTGTACCATTAGTAAGGCAATGAAAAGACTACAAAAAAACTGTATTAAGCAAAGTAAGCCATACCCACAGAACAGTGGGTATTATTTTCTTTCTTATACAAAGAAAATAAGAGAGGAACGGGATCCAATCACTTGACTAAGGGGACATTGTTTTTGTACATTGTCATTAGAGGGTAAACGAAGGGTTCCCTCACCTTCATGGTTTTCACACACATCCACAAATTTTTTTTTTAATTACAGTTCACTGAACTCTATTTATGAGATGTTCTTCAGGGTGTCTCATAAGGAACAAGTTTTAGCACAGATTTACTTTAGTATTACAGGATTCAAATAGGGAAAAATGCTCCCCATGTAGAAAATGGGAGTTAAACAAATCAAAATGATAGTTCCTGAGTTTAGCTTTTATACTTGCTGAACTGGGCAAAATACATAGATCATGTCAGCCTAGCAACTATGGTTTTGGGTAAGTAAAAGAGGATGAGGACCACTCAAACCTCAGGTAATCTTCAGAACTTCCTTTCCCCAGATGATTTTCATTCTTCCAGTCTCTAATATATATTTACTTAACATATTTTCACTATTTCAAAGGAGAAGGGAAGATTCAAATAAATATCTCCTCATAAGTTAAAAGAAGACACTTTGGCAACTTGTCATTAAAAGAGATGTATGGTGGGAAGGGAGCATATCTGCTTTATTATTATTATTATCTTTTAGTAGCTATAAAAAGGAGTTAACATTCAATTAAACAAAGCAGTTTATAAATACAATGAATCTTGACCAATGTCATCTGTTATCATTCTCCTCCATCCCTTCTAACCCCAACCCTTCCCTCAACTTTCTTAATTTTGTAGAATATAGATTGAATTTTATTAATGCATCTCCCCACTTCCTCCCTTCATCTAAATCTGCTCGATCTCATCCCCAACTTTTTTGTTTTGTGGGTTTTGTGCCAGTCCGGGAGCTTGAACTCAGGGCCTGGACGCTGTCCCTGAGCTTCTTTTGCTCAAGGCTAGCACTCTACCACTGGAGTCACAGCACCACTTCCAGCTTTATGTGGTACTGGGGAATCGAACCCGGGGCTTCATACATGCAAGGCAAGCACTCTACCACTAAGCCACATTCCTAGCCCATCAGCCCCCAACTTTTGAGGACCAGTTTCCTAGTGTTTATTATGTTAAGATTGTGAGTAGCCTAAGAAGTCATCTGCTTTTTTAGTTTACTTCCATTTGATATTTGATAATACCTGACAATATAATTTTCCTATCTCTTTATCGATCTAGACTGCCTCAATTCAACTAACAGGCACTATTGTCCAATTTTAAATAACTTCAAAATTACAGAGGTTCTTGTTATTCTTATTCCTTGTATGTGCTTTCAAAATATTATTTTAACATATTAGACTATGGCAGTGAGTTTCCAAATGAGCAATTCATAATATTTTATGGTTTTTAAGACCATGACTTATGTACATAAAGATCATTAAAATTCATATGAAAGCCAGGTTGGTAGTACACTTGCCATGAATGTGCAAAACCATGGGTTTCATTCCTAACACTTAGAATTAAAAAAAAAAAAACAACTCATGTGAAAATGCAATGTGTTAAACAGTATATGAAAAATCAGCATGGTGAATATCAATTTTATACCATACTGAATATGTAGGAAAGAGTCCTGAAGGAAACAGAGTAAAATATTAAGCATGAAGAAGTGTGACTGATCTATGATAAAACAGGTTATATGCATAACCTCTTGAATTTAAAGACAATTTTATCAATGTCCTTTGTAAGAGAAATTTTGACGGCAAAATGGGAGACAGGTAATGGGAGACAGGTAATGGACTGCGATAAGAAATGGGCCACAGAAAATGCCTCTATGATGACTGGTATTCATAACTATCCAGTTCATTGTTGTTCTTCTAACAGTGTTGGATAAACATTGACAGTTTGTATTCTCAGATTCTACTTTACACGCAGGTCCACACCATTTACCATCCTCTGGAAAATCTTTCTCCAACCAAGGTAAAATGCAATTGATTCTACTTCTACTTCCTGATTTAAAACAAAGAGACACAACTCACTGTTTACATTTAGCCCAGACAATCTCAGGGTATTTCAAAAGGAATCTCATCCACTGTACTTGATACTTCCCAATTTCATTCTTTAATGCTCAGATACCAACTGTACCTACTCACACAGGCAATAAATGACAATCAAAAAACAGAAATCTGAGTTGAAGAACCAGTATTCTAGCTCTTAAACTACCAAGTGCAAAAGTGAACAACAAAAAAAGTCACACAATATGCTATCAAAAATATCACTACACTTATAGGGCTTCTTAACAAGGATAAATTTTTATACTTCAAAAAATATAGAAGAGCCCAGTCAAGTACCCTTTAGTGCAGTGATAGATGACATTAACATAGTTATTTTACACAAATACAAGTCCACTATGACAACATAAAAAATGTTTATAGACAACAAACAACAAACAACACTTAATTCTATCCCATCAGTTATGACTTTAAACCAAAAATAAAGCAACAGCCTGATGCACTTGACTTTTAAAACAGTGCTTTGTAAAATGACAAGCGAGATTCTATTTTACATTTAGGATATTTACTACACAAAACTTATTTCATATGGTCTTAAAACACATGGTCCCTCAACTCAAATTATAGATGTCTCTTTTATTATTGGCTAAAGGGAATTTTGGTTTCTTTCCATAATATTTGAAGGCACTAACACACTGGAATTAGATACTTAGGGTGAAAAATGAGTATTACTGTATTCCCTTTGTAAAAAGTGGTGCTATATACAAGAAATGCAACATGTTGTCATATATATAAGGTACTGCCAATTGTGGTTGCTAATGGAAAATGAGG